CAATTATCATTAGAAATAGAGACAATGGTTGTGGCAATGGATGCAAACCTTAGTCCTATAGGGAACGAAATCGGGATAATTTCTGTCGTAGAACTCATCCAAAGCGCGGGTATATTTGCTGTAAGAGATCAACCAATTGATTGACGGGAAATGTTTTCGTTGTGCGAGCTTTTTGTCTAATCCCCAGAAGACTTGAACGATACCCAGAGTAGCAGAGGTTACGGGATCTGAAAAGTCACCGCCGGGTGGAGAGACGGCGCCTACTATAGACACACTGCCCTCACGTTCAGGATTACCAATGCATTTCACACGTCCGGCCCTCTCGTAGAAAGAGGCCAAACGAGCGCTCAAATACGCCGGATATCCAGAATCGGCCGGCATTTCAGCCAAACGACCGGAAATCTCACGTAAAGCTTCGGCCCATCGAGAGGTCGAGTCAGCCATCATAGAGACGTTGTAACCCATGTCTCGGAAATACTCGGCTAAAGTAATGCCGGTATAGATAGAGGCCTCTCGAGCGGCGACCGGCATATTGGATGTGTTGGCCACGAGTGTCGTTCGCTTCATAATAGACTCCGTCTGTCCGTCCACTTCGACCGTCAATTCGGGAAAGTCTCGCAACACTTCCGCCATTTCGTTACCTCTCTCTCCACACCCGACGTATATAATGACATCACTATTGGAATACTTGGATAACGCCTGAGAGATGACAGTTTTGCCGCACCCGAAGGCGCCGGGAATGGCAGTCGTGCCCCCCTGGACACAGGGGAACAGGGCGTCCAACACTCGTTGACCAGTTAATAAGGGGTGATTTGCTGCCAATTTCTCGGTAACAGGTCTCATCTGCCTGACCGGCCACACCTGAAGCATAGTGTACTGCGACTTCTCGCCGTCAAACTCGGTCTCCAGTATTACATCCTTTCGTGCATTGAATCAAAATACAACAAATGAGTCCTTAATATTCATTTATACAAAAGTTTAGATAAACATCAATATAAAAAGTTGATGACTATTATAGTGAATGGAAAATCATTGAAACGATAACTGGTTTTTATAATAATACTAATAATATGCAGGAAATCAAGTTATAAATGAGTAAAAATTAAATGAATGAATGAATAACAAAAAAATAAAATAATTACATTCAAGTCATAATTGCCGGGCTCTGCGATGAAAGTGACGGTTCCCTTTGCTTTTGGGGGTAAAATGATTTTATGCTTAATGAGTGTGTTTTCGTGGACATAGCCGTAGACATCGCCTCCCGTTATATGACTGCCGACGCGAACGTATTGGGGAAAGAAATCCCATTTGAGAGACCGATTCAGAGCTGTTGTGTTAATGCCTTTGGGAATGTAAATGCTTTGAGTCATGTCGTGGATGTCTCGCAGTGGTCGCTGAATGCCGTCAAAAA